ATATATATATATATATATATATTCCTTTTCTCTCCCGCTCTCTGTGTGTGTGTGCGTGCGTGCGTGCGTGTGTGAGAGCAGGAAAGGGGGCGCAAGTCGAACGTAACGGAGCCAATCAAGCAAATACATATGGGACAGTGATGAAAGAAGCAAAAATTTTTTTTTTTGTGTTGCATTTCATTCCGTGACTCCCTCCCCTCTAAGGGACAGAACGAAAAAACAAACAAACAAACAGGAAACTGCAGTTGAAGCACGGGGGGAGGTGGAGGAGGAGCGGTACATGAATGATAAATAAGTCATTAACGCTACGTTACCCCCCCACTCTATTGTACTTCACCCCTTTACACCGTTGACGCATCATAAGTGAGCAGGACACTGGTAGAAGAGAGGAGAGAGAGAGACCTACATTGTGCTTCTCCCTTCTCTCTCTCTCTCTCTTCCGGTCTCTCTCTCTCTCTGTGTTTTTTTGCCCCCCTCCCCGTGCTCCCACTCCGCACGGCAACCTGGTGGGTAGGGGGAAACAAGTCCACGGTGCTGTGTGCAACTCAAGAAGCGTTGCAGCGGTGCGGGCCAAGCGAACAGACAAACACACAAAAACACAAAACATACAAGTCAAACGAGCTCATTGCGTGTTGCCATTTAACCACCCCCCAACGAAAAAAAATCAATAATCTCCCCAATCTGGAGTCGTCTGAGGCGTGCACCACACACATACGCAGACCGTATACACACCGTACGGATTTCAGTTCATTCCATTCGCAACATGACGCGCGTCGGGCTCCCCACACTTGTGGACTGCCACGTTCACTTCCGCGAGCCTGGCTTCGAGCACAAGGCCGACATGCGGAGTGAGGCGGAGGCGGCGCACGCTGGTGGCATCGGCGTTGTGTGCGACATGCCAAACACCATGCCCCCCACGCAGACCATCGGAGCCTTCGCGGACAAGGTGCGGCGCGCCGCGGCGGTAGCGTCGCTGTGCGACATCCGCTTCTTTTTCGGCGCCACTGCGCACGCCCACCTGCAGGAGCTGGAGGCGCTGTGGACGCTGCCGGAGCACGAGGGCCTGAAGCGCCGCTGCGCCGGACTGAAGCTGTACCTCGACAACTCTACCGGTAACCTAAAGAGCAGCGCCGACGTCACAGAGGCGGCCTTCGCGCTATGCGGCAAGCACGGCATACCACTGGTGGCGCACTGCGAGCACGCAGCGCACAACAACGAGGCGTGTGCGCTGCACCAGTACACCGGGCCCGCCTCGCACTCGCTGCGCCGCCCAGCGCACTCGGAGGCGGCGTCCATCACCAACGCCATCGAACTCGCGCGGCGGCACGGCACACGGCTCCACATCGCCCACCTGTCGACCGGCGACGGTCTCGATCACGTCCGCCGCGCCCGCGCGGAAGGGGTGTGCGTGACGGCGGAGGTCGCCCCGCACCACTTGTTCCTCACGACGGAGGACTACAGCTGCTGCGGGGCGCGGGTGAAGGTCAACCCGCCGGTGCGGCCGCCGGAGCACCACGAACGGCTCTGGGAGGGGATCCTTGATGGCACCATCGACTGCATTGGTACCGATCACGCCCCGCACACGCTGCAGGAGAAGAGTGACGACGCAAACCCGCCTAGTGGAATGCCATCCCTGGAGCTTGTCGTCCCGCTGCTTCTCACAGTGTGCGCAGGGCAGTGGCCGCACCCCACAGCACCAAGGCCCAGGGCGTTGGAGACGCGAAGCCTAACTGTGGATGATATCGTGCGGCTTATGCACACCAACCCCAATCGCATCTTTGATCTAGGGCTAACGAACGCGACAGGGCGCACCTTTGATGTCACAACCGAGTGGGTCGTGGACGAGTCGAAGCTCAAGTCCAAGTGCCGGTGGTCACCCTACGCCAATTGGCGGCTTGTCGGCAAGGCACTCTGAGCATGTTAAAAGGTTTCTCTTTCACTAGGAGCAAAAGAACTACCNAAAAAAAAAAAAACAACAACAATAACAACAACTTGAACCAAAGCAAAAAAAAAAACACAAAATCAATATAAAGTGGAAATAAACAGAAGTGTTGAATTCTATCCACATGAGGACGTTCTTTTTCTCATGTAGGTTTCTTCGAGGTGTGTTTGTGACAGCAGCCTTGGGAGGAACTCGTGTGTGTACGTGTGGCCGTGGCAATGCCTCATGTAATGTCATGTTGATTTCATCATCATCATCATCATCATCATCTGCCGCTGCTGGGGGTCCGCTTCTGGCGCCTTCCCTCCTCATACAGTCGCACCGCGAGTACACAAAGTCTCTCCTACTGCCTCTGGACACCTAGTTGCACCACAAACAACAACGAGCAAGAGTCTCAATGATGTCCCAGAATTTCTTTGAAATGCTTAACGAGAGGGCAAAGACAACGCTGCTTTGCATCGGCCTCGACCCCCGCGCACAAACCGCTGCGGCGGCCGCCGAAGAGTGCGTAAAGTTGATCGACGCAACCAAGGACTACGCCGCCGCGTACAAGCCAAACGCTGCTTTCTTTGAGTACTTCGGGGAGGAGGGCTGGCAGGCGCTGCGGCGTGTGATCGCGCACGTTCCCTCGAATATTCCCGTCGTGCTCGACGCGAAGCGCGGCGACATCGCGGACACCGCGGAGGCCTACGCGAAATCCGCCTTCGAGCACCTCAAGGCCCACGCCATCACGGCGTCGCCCTACATGGGCGGTGATTCGCTCTCGCCGTTCCTGCAGGACGCGTCGAAGGGCGTGTTCATCCTCTGCAAGACATCCAACAAGGGCTCCAACGACCTGCAGTGCCTAGAGGTGGACGGGCGCAACCTCTACGAGGTGGTTGCCGAGCGCGCCGAGATGTCGTGGAACTACAACGGGAACATCGGCCTCGTCGTTGGCGCTACCGACCCCGTCGCGCTGAGCCGCGTGCGTGCGCGGGCGCCGACGTTGTGGTTCCTCGTGCCCG